GATGGGAGGGGGAGGGACCCTGGCCAGGAGGGAAGGAGGAAGCTAGCCACCTGGCCAGGACCCCTGGGGCTGGGCTGCCTCTGCTCCAGGGGAGGGGCCCCGGCAACCCCAGCCCCCTCAGCTTAAGAACTTCCTGGTAAATTTGGGTAAAGGACAGCTTGGGGCGAAGGGGAGGAGGGGTCTCCATTTCCCAGGTCCTGCCTGGACGGACAGATTTCGGGCTCCTCCCCCCGGGGTAGGTCCCTGCACTGCAGTTGAGGCTGATGGCAGACCCTGAGGGGAGCTCGGCCCCCTCCACCTTCCAGCCCGCAGAGCAAGCGCACAGCTCTGGGGAGGCCTCCACCCACCTCCTCTTCAAATCTGCAAAGACCCTGCGTGAGTCTCCTGAGGTTGCTACCACAAATCACCACAAACCTAGTGCTGAAACCACACACATTGATTCTCTGACAGTCCTGGGGGTCAGGAGTCCGACTGGGGTCTCACGGGGCTGAATCTAGGTGTGGGCAGGGCTGGTCCTTCCGGAGGCTCCAGGGGAGCATCGGTTCCCACCTTTTCCAGCTTCTAGAGGCGCCGCATCCCTGGCTCGCGGCCCCTCCTGCATCCTCACAGCCAGCAGCGCAGCATCTCCCGTCTCTCTCTGCCTCTGACCCTCCCGCCTCCCTCTTATAAGGACCCTGGGATGACAGTGGGCTCCCCGGGGAATCCAGGGTCCTCCCGGTCTCAGGGTGAACTGTTCAGCATCCTTAATTTCATCCCCCTTTGCCACATGAAGTAACACTCGCAGGTTCCAGGGATCAGGTCGTGCGCGGGCATCTTTGGATGGGGCGTTGTTCTGCCGACCACAGACCTCCACCTGCCCCGTTTTCTCTCCGTAGCCCTGTCCACACGTGGCCTCTGTTTTACTCCTCCTGTTTATCACCCGTGGATGAGTGGCAGGGATTCAGTCCATGTTGCTGTTTCCCTCAAAGAGCAGCGCCCGGCACACAGAAGGTGCCCATTCAGTACTTGTTGAATGAATGAATAAATGAATGAACAGATGAGGTGAGGACTTGGCCGAGAGCAGAACAAGGCCTAGGACTCGGGGCGCCCGACCCCAGCCGGCACCCAGTGGAGACTTTTCTGAAGGTGCCCAGGTTATAAAGTATCTTCTCTCTGACTCCTCACCTGCCACTCCGTCAGCCCCGGGAGGCGGCTGTGAGTCACATGAGTCCCTTTTGCAGAAGAGGAAGCTGCGGCTCAGGGCCTTAAAAGTCTCTTCCCGGGCGGTCGGGGGCGGGCTCCGACGGGGACCCCGAAGAGCTCGTCCTGGCGCGGGATTTCGCTGATTCTCTGCTTCATTCGTTGGATTTTTTTTTTTTTTTTGCGGTACGCGGGCCTCTCACCGCTGCGGCCTCTCCCGTCGCGGAGCACAGGCTCCGGACGCGCAGGCTCAGCGGCCATGGCTCACGGGCCCAGCCGCTCCGCGGCATGTGGGATCTTCCCGGACCGGGGCACGAACCCGTGTCCCCCGCATTGGCAGGAGGACTCCCAACCACTGTGCCACCAGGGAAGCCCCTCGTTGGATATTCTTGGGCCCTCTGAGCACCCAGCTCTGTGCATGTTGGTGATGGGGGGTAGAAAGAGGACTAACGTGGTCCCCACCCTTGGGACAGTGCTGTCCAGGCAGGAGACTCAAGTTTCCAGCCTCAGATGATGTGGGGTGACAGGGCCAGAACACACACAGCCAGACGCATCTTCAGACTCCAGCTCAGATACGTCCTGCTCCTGCCCCAGATCCCCTCATGACTCCCTCGCACTCTCAGAATCAAGTCCCAACACCTCACTGTGGGTTCAGAGCCCTGCGTGGTTCCACCCTTGCCAACCCCGACCCCCCAGATCCAAACTCAGACGCACCCTGAGCCTCCAGCCGCAACCCCCCTTTCTGTCCTCCGAGCACCAGCCTATTCCCACCCCAGGGCCTTTGCCCCGGTGGATCCCTCCACCCAGAACACCATTTCCCGGCCTTCCACCTGCTCACTCCTGCCCGCCGTTCATGACTCAGCTCAGACAGGCCTTCCCGGCCATGCTGGACAAAGCATCAGACCAGATAACAGACCCCCACTTTTCCCAAACGATCTACTTCGTGGATGTGTTTGCACGTCTTGCCTGTTTGCCCACCCGACACGATGCTCAGTGAGAGAAGCCAGACACAGAAGGACACACAGGGTGTGATTCCATGGATGGGAAACGTCCAGGACAGGCAGATCCACAGACACAGAGAGTGGGTTGTCAGGGGCTGGGGCAGGGGGTAGGGGGTGAGTGCTCGTGGGGACGGGGCTTCTTCTGCGGGTGATGGAATGTTCTGGAATTAGAGGTGATGGCTGCACATATATGTGAAAGTACTAAAAAAATAAACACTGGCCACTTGAAATGGGAAAAAAATGCCCCGAGGAAGGCCCCGGTGCTGCTGAGCCCCCAGCACCCACGCTTGGCCCACTGGGGGTTCAGAGAGAGAGGGGGAGTCCTGGAGTGTGGCCAGGGCAGCCCTGCCCCGGTGGGATTTGCCCCTCGCTGGGGAGAAGAGATGGGAAGGTTCTCGGGCACCAGCCCCGAGGCTCTGGCTCCTCTGTGTGGAAAATGAGGGGGGGTGGCCCTGGGTGTCCAGGGGGTCTGGTCTGCAGCACACTCGGCATGAACAGCTCTCAGTCCACGTGGCGAGCAGTTTTTCCCACATCAACAGTCACATGGGGACTCAGCCCCAACACGGCTGCACCCGCAGCCCAGGAAGGGCCAGGCTGGCCCCCAGGGCCTCCTCCACCCTTGGCCACAAGCCGCGTGCTCGCTGACCATGGCATGGGGGGAGGGAGCCTCGCTCTGCCAAGGGCAGCCCCGGGGCCTCACAGTTCTGCCCGGCTGGCACAGGGCAGGCTCCTGGGTCTGCAGAGCTGGTGGAAGTCAGGGTCCCACGAGGATGGGCTCCCACCGCCCCGACCCTGGGAGAACTGTGGGAAGACAGGGTGTGGAGTCCTGGATTCAAGTCTTACATCTGCTTCTCACCTGCTGTGTGGCCCTGGGCAAGTCACTTCCCCTCTCTGGGCCTCTGCTTCCCCATCTATAACACAGGCTGATGATCAGCGTGTCTCCTCCTGGGGCAGCCACTGGATGCCTGCTCTGTGCCCAGCATCCTCTACGACCGACAGCGGGTCTCGCCCGGGCGATCCCGCCCCCCAGGGGGCGTGGGCGATGTCTGGGAACGTCTGTGGTTGTCACGACTGGGGGGCTCCTGGCGTCGATGGGGTGGGGGTCAGGGATGCTTCTCCACACCCCCCAGGGCCCAGGACGGCCTCCCACAGAGAATGATCCAGCCCTGGAAGTCAGCGATGCTGAGGGACCTCACACAACCCCAGTGCATTCTGAAGGTGGGGACGCTGAGCCCTGAAAAAAGCAGGGTGTCTGTTGAACGGTGGGGGGTGAGCTGGAGCCCATGCTGACAGGAAGAGGGTTTGGAGTGGGTTGGTGGTGGCCTGGCGGTGGCAGAGATGCAGAGCACGGTGGATCTGGGACATGTTTGGAGGTGGAGCGGACAGCACCTGGTGATGGATTGGTCGGGGGTGTGAATGAGGAGCTGCCAGGGGACGGGTGACGTCGGGACACTGCGGGGCCTCCGGGTGATGTCGGGATGTGGCTGGTCCCCAGGGCTGGAGCTCAGGAGAGACACAGGGTCAGGAGTCATCAGTGAACAGATGGTATTTAGTCCTGGGCGGACAGGGTGGCAGGTCCCTGGGGGTAAAATGAGTGTCTGGAAGGCAGGTGGTGACCTTGACCGCCCTGTGGGTGTCACCTCCCCCGAGGCCCCTGCCTCAAGGAGGAGGGAAGGGGCAGAGAAGGTGTAGCATCAACATGGACCTGTCCACATGGCCTCATTTTACCACCCAGCACGGCCCCCCTGAGTGGCCTCTGCCAGACCTGTCCCTCCCACCCCCCGCCTGCCCTTCCCACCACCGTTCACAGCCGGCTGACCTTCTCACCACCTTTCAGGAAATGGACCCGATGCCCTGAAAACGTAGCAGCAAAAGCAGGACTAGAATCCAGACCCCCACCCTAATTGGGACCTGGGATCCTGGCCTTCTAACCCCACCTCAAGGCCCAGGCCTCGACGCGAGGAAACAGGCCCAGAGAGGGTGACTCACTTGCTCAGGGCACCCAGCCCTCCACCGAGACCACCCTCCCGCGAGCTCTCCCGCTTCCCAGTCCAGCCAACGTCGAGGTAAGTGAATGAACAGGGTTGCTAGAGACAGAGTCAAGTTCCCGCTGCTCCCTCGCCCAGACCAGACCTTTCCACAGTGGAGGGGGAGGCATCACAAGCTCCAGCCCAGCTGTGAGTCCATCCACCCCACACAGAGATGACAGGCCCATGCTGGGGGGAGAGGTTATAGCTCACAAACTGGGTCACAGCTGGAGCAGACCCCGCTGGGCGCCAAGGACCAGCTATCCTCTCATCCCGGGAGCAGTTACAGCGCGAGTGCTCCGAGGGCGCCCCCGGACTCGCTCCCTTTGACAGGCGAGGTTCAGAGAGGGCGCACTTTTCATTAGAGGTCACACAGCGCGTCAGAACCGAGGTCTCTGCCGGCCTTTCTGCGACTGTGTCACAGTGGCTGTGCCCTGGCCGTGCTGGCCTCTTGTCACTTAAGTACTTCCTTCCTGATACTGTTCTGTGACAACTATTTTTTTTTAAATTCTTTTCAACTTAAAAAAAAAAATTTAAGTTTGTAAAAAGTCCACCTTCCTCTCTCTGCAGCGCCCGACCCCGGACTCCGTGGCTGAATGGCCCAGTCCTGCTGCCTGCCCCCCCCGCCCCCCCCCACTTGGCTCCCTTTCTCCCTCCCTAGGTCTTTGTATGAATGTCCCTTTCTTGGCAAATTAGATCATTGCCATCCCCTCAACACCCCCTTCGCCCTTTTCCTGGATTTATTTCTCTCCACTTATGGCCACCTAAGGCGGGAGAGAGTGTATTTACTTACCTCTTTTATTATCCGTGGGCTCCAAGAAAGCTGACCCCTTTGTCTCACGCACTGTGTGTCCTCAGCACGTGGAAAATGCCTGGCACAGTAGATGTTTGTTGACTGACTGATGGACGGAATCAACGAATGAGAGGAGACCAGTGTTTGTTACAGGATCTCTGCAGGTGACGATGAAAACAGGTCCAGCAAAAACAGAGCCGTATTTCGAATTCTAGCTGAATGAACTGCCAGGACCCTCTCCTGCCTCTGTTAAAAAAAAAAAAAAAAAAATTAGCGAGTGTTACGGGGTGTAGCACCACCCCACCTCACTCCGAGACTATCCCCTGCCACCTCTGACGTGCGGTGTGAACCTGAGCGGGTGACTTATGTTGCTTTGAGCCTCAGTGTTCCCATCTGTAAAGTGGGCATGACCCACCCCTGTGAGGTTGTTGTGGAAATTAAATGGGCCGATCCACGTAGAGCCTTAGCCCAGGGCTGGCCCAGAGCAGAGCCTATAGCAGAGTTTGCCTTTTTTTTTTTTGCCGTACGCAGGCCTCTCACTGTTGTGGCCTCTCCCGTTGCGGAGCACAGGCTCCGGACGCGCAGGCTCAGCGGCCATGGCTCACGGGCCTAGCCGCTCCGCGGCATGTGGGATCTTCCCGGACCAGGGCACGAACTCGTGTCCCCTGCATCGGCAGGCGGACTCTCAACCACTGCGCCACCAGGGAAGCCCCCAGAGTTTGCCATTTTGATGAAGATGATGATAATGATGAAGATGATGTTTCCAGTCCAGGAATAAAGACCAGCTTTGAACAGGGTTTAAGGTGCATTTCAGAGAGCCTGGGGGGAGGGGAGGGGTAGTTTAGTGCAGAGAGTCACCAGGGAAGTGACACTGGGGGCGAGACCCCAATAAAATCAGGGAGAGAGCCATGAAGGGACAGTGGTCTGGGTCTTGCACAGCCCGTGCAAAGGCCCTGGGGCAGGACCATAGCAGGCATGTTGGAGAAACAGCGAGGAGGCCTGTGGGGCTGGAGCAGAGAGAGCGAGGGGGAGAGAGGGAGGAGGGGAAGGCAAGGAGAGGCCGGGCGTGTGAAATTCTCTCCTGCAGAAGGCACAATGCAGGCAGCTCTGCCCCCACAAGGAGTCTGTTTGGGGGGCTGAACAATACCAGCCATTTCCTTCTTGGGGCAGAGCCAGGGAGGGCCTTGCTCCTCCAAAGCAGACTGCTGAGGAGCTGTGCCCCATCCCCGGCTGGGGGACCGTTATCCCTTGACCACAGGGAGCGGCCTGGGCTGGGCTGGCGACCTGGGAGTGACCTCAGAGCCCCTTTAACGTAGAAAAGAGACAGCTGAACAGGGAACCATCAATTCTGACTGTCATGTCCCCTCCTGGGACACGGCCTCTCCACATGCTCTCCAGGGCAACTACACGGGAGGGAATGACCTAGAAAAAGAGCCTGGGAAGAAGTTTGCCTCAGGGAAGGATTATGTTCCCTGCAATGCCCAGGTCGGGATTAAGGACAGTTGCAGTGGGAAGGCACGACCAGATGCCTCTCACTCCCTCCCTCTGCCTCCCTGCTGGGCTTCCCAGCCGGGGACAGGGAGCTAAGACCTGTGACCTCCAGGAGGCCAGGGGCGCCTCGGTTTCCTCATGATGGGACCGCACTCTCCACTACCGGCAACTCCCTTCCCGCCACTCACAGTGCTGTCCCGAACGGTGTGTGACTTCCCAGGCGTTTCAGGGGCACCTGCGCTTGTGTTTATGTCCCCGCCCAAAACAAGAACTGAGTTTGGTGTTTGGTTTTATTTTGCCACGAATAGGATTGTGCTGTCTGTGATTGTGTGGCAACCTTGCTTCCCCCTGGCCTCCCGTGGAACTACACCTCAGCCAGCTTTCCTTGTGGGTACATCTGAATCTCCCAGCCTTCCACAATAACCATAGATTATGGCTTATTGGATCCCCTATTGATGGGTGCTAAGGTTAGTTCATTTTTCCTCCATGTGACTAGATCTCAGCTCTCTTTTTCTACTGAGTACATACAGATCTCCTTGATTCCACAGCAGGCACAGACCACAGTTTATTTAACTAATCCCGTATTGATGGACACTTAGGTTAGTTTGGGGATTTTTATTCACCCCCCCCCCATATAACTACATCACTGTCTTTCTTCACTGGTACATACAAGTCTCCCTGTGTTCCACAGCGGGCACGGACCACAATTTATTTACCTGATCCCCTATGGATGGATATCTAGGTGAGTCCCAGTTTTTGCAGTTCCGAACGACCCTGCAGCAAACCTCCTTGTCCACCCTGCTCCCACGTGTGAGTTTTTCTTACGGATCCGTGGATATTCCGTTAGGTCTCGTAGCTGCCACGATGAAATACCACAAACATGGCGGCTTAAAACAACAGAAAGTTCTTCTCTCTGTTCTGGAGGCCAGACGTTCAAAATCAAGGTGTCAGCAGGGCTGTGCTTCCTCCAGAGATTCTAGGTGTGGATCCTTGCCTGCTTTTTCCAGGTTCTGATGGTTACTGGCACTCTTTGGTGTCCCTTGGCCTATAGATGCATCACTCCAGTCTCTGCCTTTGTTGTCACGTGGCCACCTTCCCTGAGTGTCTGCATCAAAATTTCCCCTTTTATAAGGACACCAGTCATTGGATCAGGGCCCACCCTGCTCCAGTATGACCTCATCTTAAATTGATGACCCCTGCAAAATACAAACTCTCCCCCCAGTGACGTATGGTTCACCTCTGGCATTAAGTTACTCAGGGCTCTGTGTGTGTTAATGCTCACTTAAAATTCCCGAAAGGGCCCAGGAAGGCTGGAGCTGGCCACACCGCTGTTTAGCAGATGAGAATCTACAGCCTGGGTCTTTGCCGAGCCGGGCCTGCGGGAACAGTGAGGAAACAGGCAGTAAGCATGTGTCAGGGGTGGTCAGGGGATGCCTGGGGGCTTCAGCTGCTAAGATGCTGAAAATAGGTGCCTGGCCAACGGAGCAGCACCCTCAGGCTGCCATCTGCTTATGCCCTCCCCACCCCCACCCACCTTGGCCCCGGGATCCGGGCTGCAGCCCAGCAGAGTGCGGGGACAGGGGGTGGAGGGCCAGCTGGCTGCCAGGAGAGATGGAGCAACTCGGAAGGCGCAGATGTAAAGGCCCAGGCGTGTTGGCATCTGTCCCTCCGGGCCTCCCCAGCCACATCATCCAGCCTCCGTGAACCCTCCAGTGCATCTCCCACTCCCCACCCCCATTCATTGTACTCCTAGCCTCACCAGCCACTCCTTCAGCCTCAGGACCTTTGCACTGGCTCTTCCCCCAGCCTGGAACCCTCTTTCTGCAACACCCATGGGCCCTTTCCTGGTCATTCTTTGGGTCTGTATTAGCTTCCTGTTGCCAAACACAAAGTACCACAGACTGAGTGGCTGAAAACAACAGAAATCTATGCTCTCCCAGTTCTGGAGGCCAGAAGTCTGAAATCCAGGGGTCTCAGGCCATGCTCCCTCTGAAGTCTCCAAGGGAGGGTCCTTCCTGCCCCTCCCGACTTCTGGGGGCCCCCGCCATCCTTGGCTTGTAGGCGCATCCCTCCAACCTCTGTCTCTATCTTCATGCGGCCTTTTGCCCTCTGTGTGCATCTATGTGTGAGTCCAAACTTCCCTCTTATTATAAGGACATCAGTCATTGGATTCAGGGCCACCCTAATCCAATATAACCTTGTCTCAACTCACCACATCTGCAAAGACCCTATTTCCAAACGAGGCCCCCTTCCCACGTACCAGGGTTAGGACTTGAACGTTTCTTTTGGGGGAACACAGTTCAACCCAGCCCAGGGTCTCAGCTCAAATGTCACCTGTCCTGGTCTGAAGTCACCCCCTCCATGGACCCTGATTATCCATCCACACTGCTTCCTTACCCAGCCCTTGGGTAGACACCCCAGAGGGGGATCCCGGGTCCCACGGTGGATAATCACTTCCTGAGCTAGCTACTAGGATGGGATGGGATGGGACGGGCCGGGGTGGCGGGATGGCGGGATACGGGTGCTAACGCTGCCCCCGCCCTCAGGTGCCCACGAGGATGGTGGCGCGGCCCTAGGCCCAGGCTCCGCACCATGACCTGCTGGCTGTGTGTCCTGAGCCTGCAGTTTCTGCTCCTGCCCGCGGCCCCGCCCCCCGCTGGGGGCTGCCCGGCCCGCTGCGAGTGTACAGTGCAGATGCGCGCGGTAGCCTGTCCCCGGCGCCGGCTGACCGCGGTGCCCGACGGCATCCCGGCCGAGACGCGCCTGCTAGAGCTCAGCCGCAACCGCATCCGCTGCCTGAACCCGGGCGACCTGGCCGCCCTGCCGCTGCTGGAGGAGCTGGACCTGAGCGAGAACGTGATCGCGCACGTGGAGCCCGGCGCCTTCGCCAACCTGCCGCGCTTGCGAGAGCTGCGCCTCCGCGGCAACCTGCTGAAGCTCATCCCGCCCGGCGTCTTCACGCACCTGGACAACCTCACGCTGCTGGACCTGAGCGAGAACAAGCTGGTCATCCTCCTGGACTACACCTTCCAGGACCTGCGCAGCCTCCGCCGGCTGGAGATGGGCGACAACGACCTGGTGTTCATCTCGCGCCGGGCCTTCGCGGGGCTGCTGGCGCTTGAGGAGCTGACCCTGGAGCGCTGCAACCTGACGGCGCTGTCGGGCGAGTCGCTGGGCCACCTGCGGGGCCTGGGCGCCCTGCGGCTGCGGCACCTGGCCATCGCCGCCCTGGAGGACCAGAACTTCCAGCGGCTCCCGGGCCTGCTGCACCTGGAGATCGACAACTGGCCCCTGCTGGAGGAGGTGGCCGCCGGCAGCCTGAGGGGGCTCAACCTGACCTCGCTGTCCGTCACGCACACCAACATCACCGCCGTGCCGGCCGCCGCCCTGCGCCACCAGGCCCACCTCACCTGCCTCAATCTCTCGCACAACCCCATCAGCACGGTGCCGCGAGGGTCCTTCCGCGACCTGGTGCGCCTGCGTGAGCTGCACCTGGCTGGGGCCCTGCTGGCCGTGGTGGAGCCGCAGGCCTTCCTGGGGCTGCGGCAGATCCGCCTGCTCAACCTCTCTAACAACCTGCTGTCCACGCTGGAGGAGAGCACTTTCCACTCGGTCAACACGCTGGAGACGCTGCGCGTGGATGGGAACCCGCTGGCCTGCGACTGTCGCCTGCTCTGGATCGTGCAGCGCCGCAAGACCCTCAATTTCGACGGCCGCCTGCCGGCCTGCGCCACCCCAGCCGAGGTCCGCGGCGACGCGCTGCGCAACCTGCCGGACTCGGTGCTCTTCGAGTACTTCGTGTGCCGCAAGCCCAAGATCCGCGAGCGGCGGCTGCAGCATGTCACAGCGGCCGCGGGCGACGACGTGCGCTTCCAGTGCCGCGCCGAGGGCGAGCCGGCGCCCACCGTGGCCTGGGTGACGCCGCGCCACCGCGCGGTGACCGCCGCCAGCGCCGGCCGGGCGCGCGTGCTGCCGGGCGGCACGCTTCAGATCCGGGACGCGCGGCCAGGGGACAGCGGCACCTACACGTGCGTGGCCAGCAACGCGGGCGGCAACGACACCTACTTCGCCACGCTGAGCGTGCAGCCCGAGCCAGCCACCAACCGGACCCCGGGCGAGGGCCGCAACGACACGCAGGCGGCCGTGCGCTTTCCTCTGGACCTCACCACTATCCTGGTGTCTACCGCCATGGGCTGCATCACCTTCCTAGGCGTCGTCCTCTTCTGCTTCCTGCTGCTCTTCGTGTGGAGCCGCGGCCGCGGGCAGCACAAGAACAACTTCTCGGTGGAGTACTCTTTCCGCAAGGTGGACGGGCCCGCCGCGGCTGCCGGCCAGGGGGGCGCCCGCAAGTTCAACATGAAGATGATCTGAGAGGCCCCGGCCCACCTCCCGCGGCCCCCGCCGCTGCGCCTGCGCCAGAGGCCGCGTCTCCGTCTCCGCCCAAATCCACGCCAGCCCGTGGCTGGCCCATCTGACTACCACCTATGCATTTCCCGTAGGGGGCGGCCGCAAGCCGGCTCCTGGCACAACTTCCCCTTTTTTTGTAGAGACCCAACCACAGGACTGTTTTTTCATCAGGATGCATCTTTTGCAGAGTTTCTCAAGCGTTTTCTTAGGGTTTCACGCTGTCTTCCTGCCCCTCGTGTGGTCGCTGAGCTGGGCAGGGGGCGGGGGGTGCTCAGAGGCCCAGGGTCCCGGGCGTAAACAGCTCACACCTGGTGGAGATGGTCTACACCTGGTGGAGATGGTCTACACCTGGAACCCCACGGAGGTCACCAGGGGCATGTGAAAGCCCTCACTGTTCACACCTGCACACACACACACACACACCCCGCCCCCGTCCCTACACCAGAGCACACACGCACACCCGGAACATACAACCAGACGCACGGCTCCAGAGTGGAACACACACACCTCACACCCAGCTGACACTGAGCAGGTGTCCCAAGCTCCAGAGCTCACCAAGGGCACGCAGGGCTCTGGGGAGAGACCAGTGCACACCTGGGCCAGGCAGCTCACACTTGGGACACATTTCAGCTCACACCCAGACAGCTCACGCCCAACTCGCGCTCAGCTGGCCATCTTGGGGCAGATCTCAGGGGCTGCGCTACGGTCTCGCTGAGGAGGTCAGGCTCACCCTGAGGTGGTCCAGCATGCAGGATGGTCCCTGACCCGCTGGCCCAGATGCCCCTGCACCCAGACTCCCGCCCGCCAGGACCTGTTGGCCAAGCAGGGTGGGCTGCCCGCTAGGAGAAGCCATTCCCCTGGTTCCTCCCACCATCCCTCACAGCTGCCACCTGCTTCCTTGCTCTCACCGCCCAGGAGGGACAGCCGTCCTGGCCCCTGGCCCAGGAGCATGGCTTCCAGGTGTCCCTCTCCAGCAGACCAGTTGGAGTGACCTTCAATCCCGAGTCTGCAGCACCCCTGCCCAGCCCCGTGGCCCATTGCTCACCTCGGGAAGGAGACCAGAGCGTGGACGGTTCTCAGGGTCCCTGTTATGGGCATGGAAGGGGCAGTGACGGGGAGAAAGGCCAGAACAAAGGTTCAAGCTACAGGGAGGCCTGGACCTGGGTCGTTGGGAGAAGGTGACAGAGGCACCTTGGTCTCTGCAATGTTGGGGCAGATCTTGGGCCAAAGAGTAGAGAGGGTCACAGGAAGACTGTAGCTCAGGTGAAAGAAGAGCTTCCCCAAGGTCACTGCCCTGTTGCTCTACAGATAGTGAGTTCCCAGTCACTGGGGGTATGCAAGCAGGAGCTGAGGTTTTGCAGAAGTATTCAGATACCAGACAGGGACCATACATGACCCTGCCTCACCCAGCCTGGTCCTTGCCCCGACTCTCTACCTCGGCCAGACAACAGTTAGGGCATCACTTGGGGGAAGGGGCACAGGAAATTTTGTGTGGCCAGGCCCTGGGCAGAAGGGAGGTTAGACAGTATTCTCAAGGACCTTGTAAGAAGGTTCAAAGCCAGCTCTGTGCCCTCGCAGCTGTGTAATCTTTGTTGGCAACCGAGGACCACCTGGACCGTTGGTGTCCACGTCTATAAAATGGGTCTGACGGTCAAACCTATTGCTACATACGTAGAGGCCAGGCCCGTGGACAAGCTTGGTGATTGACTTGGATTCTGGATCCCTCCAGATCTTTCTGAGATGAGCCAGAGAGAAAGCTGTCCCTCCTGGAAGTTTTGCACAAAGGATTCAGCCAGAAGGTGGAAGGGGCCACTGGCCATTCTCCCTGGGCTGGAAGCATCGGGAGGCCCTGATCCCGCTTCAGCATGCGCATGGGCCAACAGGGCTGTGTGGCAGGCTGCTGACCACAGCCAGCCAGGGTGGGGACCCCACCCAACCCCATTCGTGGCAGGAAGTGAGTGAGGGCCGAATGGGGTGTCCAGCAGCCCTACACAGAGTCGAACAGAGTGGACTAGTTTTGTTCCCTTAGCATCCTCCTGACCTTGGTTGCCACGACAACACCGAGGGCCCCTCCAAACGACATCCAAGTGCCTTTAACATCATCAAGACAGGAGGGAGTATGTTCTCAGCAGTGTTAGGACTTACAGAATGTCAGCATGTTGAGATCTCCCAGTCCCCTCTGCCCATCCCCCGTCCCAACATCAACCAAGACCCTTAGCCCCTGCCCCCCACCCCTACCCGACTGTATTTGGTTGGAATCCAATAAAAATGAAACCAATTTAATAACAAACTTCAGGGTTTTTAAAAATTCTCATGGGAAGCATGGGGGCAGAAAGTAGGGGCTGCTGGGGGTCCCTGAGGGAGAGGCCTGGCTTCAGCACCAAAGCTGACCCTGAGTCATAGGGCATTTGTGGAGAATGACCCGTGTGATAAGGTTAGAGTTCACACTTCAGGAGTGCCCGTGCTGTTCCCAGCGCTGTCCCCTGTGCTGCCTGCATTCACTCCCCCATGAGCTGGGTCCTGTTATGACCCCATTTTACAGGTGGGCAAAGGGAGAGTCAAGTCCCCAGCTAGGGAGAAGCAGGGTGCTGAGAGGGACCAGTGGCACTGGGCTGTCCAGGGGAACTCTTGCCCTGAGCTTGGTCCAGGGGCGGAGCCAGCGGCAGGGAGGAAAGGAGAAGTGAGGTGCAGACTCCCTCCCTCCCTGCTGCGCCTCTGGAGCTGGTAGCTTCTCCCCCTGGGGCTTCCCCTGGCCAAGGGCAGCTGAAGGGGGACCCGCCCCGTTGGTGGCTAGAAACCCAAGACGGGGCCCCGCAGAGGGGTGTCTGTGGCCTCAGTGCTGTGTGGCCTGGGGGAAGTCGCTGCCCCTCTCTGTGCAGTGTGCTCATCTATAAACTGGAGGATTATGGTCGTCTTTCATGCAGGGAACTGTTTGAGCTTCCTATGGCCGCTGTAACAAAACTTAGTGGCTTACAACAACTGAGATTCATTATTTGACAGCTCTGGGGCTCAGAAGTCTAAAATGGATTGGCAGCTGGTCCTTCCCGAGGCTCCAGGGCAGCGTCGGTTCCCGCCTTTTCCAGCTTCTAGAGGCGCCGCATCCCTGGCTCGCGGCCCCACCTGCATCCTCAGAGCCCGCAGTGCAGCATCTCCCGTCTCTCTCTGCCTCTGACCCTCCCGCCTCCCTCTTATAAGGACCCTGGGATGACGCTGGGCCCCCTGGGAATCCAGGGTCACCCCCATCCTCATCTAATCAGCAACCTTCACTTCCCCCTGCCGTGCCACATAGCATATTCACAGGTTCTGGAGATGGACATCTTTGGGGACTGTAACCCTGCATGCCACAAAAGACTGAGGCATTTTTCTCAGAAATGCGAAGTCATGAGAAATTCGGGAGGATCTGGCATCCCGAGCCCTTGCTCAGGGCGATGCCAGGGATGCAGAGAGCCCGGCCCCAGCTCCTGCAGCGCTCCAAAAACACTTCTCGAATAAAAGAACAGCTTTACTATCTGCAGAGGGTTTGACCCTGATGTGGGGTGGCCGGCCAGGGCTGACACACAGGGGCCACTTTTCAGGGTGAGCTGAGGCAATCGGTCCCCATTTCTAGGCCTTAAGGGAGGACTGTCCATTGGGGCTCAGTGGGGTGGTAGGCACATTGGGGTGCTGAGCAGATGTCAGCTGGCATCTGCTCTCCTCCCCCACAAAGGGCCCCCAACCACTCCAAGGAGGGGTCATCTTGAGGTAGGCAGCGGGGTCCCTGGGCACCAGCTGCCCCCCACCCTGCCTGTCCTGGGTGGAGAAGTCCCCAGGGATGTCATTGCTTGTCCCAGCCTGGCCCTTCTGTCCACCCCCCAAACCCCACCTCAGGATCAGGCAAGTAAGGCACTGCCCTGGCATCCAGAACTCAGTCATCAAGATCAATATTCTACGAACAAAATTAATTCATGCCCCGAGTCCACAACCCTTTAGATAAAGACAGGATCCACTCTGCCTTGGCATGACCCTGCCTCACTCCCCACACCCGAATCCTGGCCCTGGTGCCAATAAAACTTTATTTACAAAAACAGCCGGCCAGCCCAAGGGCCATAGTTTGCAAATAAGATGTTTTTTTAATATTACATTATTATATTACAATGTTATTTATCTTGATTACTGGGTTGTTGTTTTTTTTTTCAATCACGCTTTTAATGAAAAGATCATAAAATAACAGTTTCTCATCACTGTACATTAAGACTGCACACTTCTAAATGGAGAAATCGATGAACTGCTTTACTATGACACTTGAGGGTTGCATACCTGCAGCTATGACCTGAATTTATCCAAACTCTCGAGGGAAGTGAACTCGGTGTGATGACTGACTGTAGCGGTGGCCAGTACAGGGGTGCGATCACGGTCCCCCCTTCCTGGGAAGCGCGCGTAGCAGGACATGATCCCTCTTCCAGTTCCCGGTAAACAAAACAGCTATAACCCCATCCCTCGCCCTCCCCCTCGAGGTATTTGTGAATGGGCCAGTGCCCAACCTGGGGTCCCCCAACAGGGGAGGGGGAAAGCAAGTGATGGGTGGGGGACAAAGAGGTTCCCCTCAGCACCTGGCCCCCCCCGGGGCCCCGCCAAGTGGAGGCGGGGAGCCCTGGGGATCCTCCCTGCCCTGAGTGAGGTCTGTTATGCAGCGTATTTGAGGTCAATAAATTACAGCAATAAACAGCAAGGTGAGGTGGGGGAGGGGTTCCTGGTAGAAAATTAAAGTGGGGTGACAAGCCCGGGGCAGGGTGGGGGGTCCTAGGCAGGGGGTCCCAGGCAGCCTCAGTCCCCATAGCTCACACCCACCCCCTGATTTGGAAGGTCAGACTGAGGTCAGGCCCCGCTCCTGGCATCGGGTTCACAGGTTCAGTGATGCCCAACCTGGCTCTGGGGAAGAGCAAGGGCCTTGGTCCCTGCAGGGGGCCGGCAAGGCTGGGATCCCTGGTCTGTTCTGAGGCCTGGTGCCTCTGCTTTCGTCCTCCCCCCACCCACCAAGCCAAGGCGACGGGGCGGATGCGGCCACCTCTGCCCTGAACCCTGCCCTCCCGGCTGCCCAGGCCTCACCCCGACTCCGGACAGCCACGGCCAGCGCGGCCGGGGTCCCTGGTGGATCGCATTCCTGCACACGGCCAGTCCAGTGCATTCTGACGGGTGGGAGTCAGGGTAGCCCACGGCTGCGTGAGGTTCTGAAAGTCCGTCTGGGTCCAGATTGTTCGTTTCACAGGCTGAGGTGTGTGGCTATGCTGCGAGTCTGAGATTCGTATTTGCTTAAAGGTTCCTCTTTCCTTCTTTACCTTTTCTGCAATCCTGGAGGAGCCCCGGCGGCGGTGGGCTGGGTCTGGCGGGAGCGTGCGGTGGCGGAGCCCGGTCTGCCGCTCACTCGCCCCAAGTCTGCGAAATAAATACATTCGTCACTGCACAGACATTGATACAAAAACAACACTGTTCAGAGCGTTTGCGCCGTCCGTGCAGTGTTTGCCCAGTGAGCCCCTCCCACGGCCGGGGTGGAGGTGGGGGTCCCCAGAGGGCGGTGACCCGCCGGAGCCCACGGAGCTGTGCAAAGTTCCAGGCTTTTTGGCGCGAGAGGGACCCTCACATCAACACACCCGAGGGTCGCAGGCAGAGCAGTGGGATGGGGGCGCACCTCCATCCCAAGGGCCCAAGCCCAGGCTCAGGTCCTGCGGCCACAAGTGACAGCCACCCCTGCTGTGCCAGCTGGCAGGACCGCCAGGGTCTGGCCAGGAGGCCTGGGGGGGGCCAGCTGGGCTGGGAGAGGCCGGGCTGGGAGGAGGGCTCAGGGGCCTCCACGCCCGCCCCAGGGCCTACTCAGAAGGGGCTCCGGCGGAAGCTGGGATTCACTGGGACTGGCCTTTTATCTGCTGAGGTCTGAAACTGTAAAAGTTTATGTAAACAAACAATGAGATAAATATATTAGTATCTTTTTTTCTGAGCCCATTGAGGTTCCACACGCATTCAAGATGTGCTTGGTTTAAAAAATAGGTTTTGTGAATTTGGGTGTGAGCTTTTTTTCTCCCCCTTTTTTTTTGGTCGTTGTTTATCCTCTTTCCTCCATGACATCTGCTATTTTCTGTTTCCTGTTTCTCCAAAACATTCAGGAGTTCAGCGACTAAAGCAGAGAACTGTAAGCCGCCCTTTGGCCTCCAACAGCCTAATCTCCTGGTGAGGCTCTAACACACATCCACGCACACACTCACGAGCTCACACTCCGCATGAAACCAAAGGAAAAGGAAAGCGAAACCAAGTGTCGTGTTAACCCCGCCCGCCCCACAAACCCTTAAAGTCTTAAGTAGGAAACTAGTGTTTCGCTTTCTTGTTCAAATACAGAGAAGGCTCGATGTATGATATAATACTCAGGTGGGCACAACACTACATCGCACGAAGGTCGTCGAGTGAGGGCCTCTGCGCCCGGTCCCCGAAGCTCTGCCTTGAACCACCTGCTTCACCGGGGTCCATGCCCAGGGGCGTGTGTGCAGCTCCCGCTACAGACTTCCGTCGTGTGGCTTAAGTGCCGATGGCGTAGGGGGGTCGGGAGAGCAGAAGCGCTGCAGGGGCCCCGCCCGACTTGCTGGAACACGAGTCCCCAGAGGGGAGAGGAGTGGCCGGAGGCCGGGGGCACCCCAAGGGCTCAGCAGGGCCCCGCGTGGCCCTCGTGCCCTCACTCCCGATACCCACCACTCGGGTCCCTGAACTCAGGCTCTGGTTTCAGCTGGAGGGTCTCTGGAGGGGTGGAGGGTAGGGGTAGGGGATGACTCTGGAATATTTTGGTCTGAACTTAAAGTAGAAAGAAATAAAAACCTGAAGCAAAATGAAGAAGATAAAGCCACTGGTCCAGCCCTGTGGCTGCAGCAGGCTGAGGACAGTGGGGCCGACCTCTCAACCTCGGCCTGGCCTTGCGAGCGCTGCTCTGGGCCCAGGGAGGTGTCTGAGGCTGGCAGGGAGCCCGAGGCGAGAGGTGAGGGTAGGGTGGGATTCAGGGCTGAGCCCATGGGTGGCAGCCAGACTCCCCCTGCCGGTGGGTGGGAGAAGATGTACACACCCCTGTGGTCAGCCCCTCCGCACTGGTCAGGTAGGGGCTGCTGCTCTCCCGAGGTGAGGCTCTTGCAGGCCCAGGGGACAGGATGGGGGGTGGGTCTCACTGCTGCCCCATCCTGGCCTGGCCGGGAGCCACCAGGAACCTGTCCCACCATGTGGCTCCCGTATCCCGGCACCTGCTCCTGTGCCGGGGGCCCCCCAGGGGCTAGAGCACCCATACCCCAACTCGGGCCCAGATGAGAGGCAGCTCGGGCTCCCTGACAGCAGCACACTCAGAACACTTTCAGGGTGGCCGGCTGGCCACACGCGCACGGAGGAAGTACAGGTGCCCCTTCTGAGAGGGGGCACAGGCGGGGGGCCCAGGAGGAAAACACAAGTGTCACGGTCACAACGGCCATCACCAACCAACGTCCTGTTCTCGCGAATTCAAGAGGTAGCAAAAGGTCAGAAGTGTCTCCACCTTGATGGTTTTTTCCTTTTGTTTTGTTGGCATCACCTTAAATTCTGTGCCTGAGGTGAGTGCCTTGCCTGCCTCACCCTAATTAGTCCTGGATGGGAGGCGTGGCCCAGCTGGGTGACCCCACAGGGCCTCCTGAAGGAAAGAATAAGCACTCGTGGTCAGCAGGGGTCTGGGCAGTGAGCAGGCCACTTCCTTGGCACCTCTGGTCCCTTCTGTTCCACCTGGAACAGCCCAGGATTTCTGGAATCCTTGTCCCATATAATTGGCAAATCCTTCCCCGAGCCTGCCATTCTCCGACTGCATGATTCTGAAATCTGCCCAAATCACAGGCTGCCCCATGGATTAAGACAAAAAGTATAAATTCTATGAATTACAGAAGCTGAGTGCTGGGAAAGACAAAATATTGAATCAAGTTACAGACCCTCACGCTCGAAAAGCTGGCTGTTAGCAGGTCAGTGTGGCCCAAACTGTGGCAGGAGACCCACTTGGAGGACTCCGTGAGATGGATCTGTCTTCTTTCCCACACCCAGGGGGCACCCAGCGATGGCCTGTGGACCCCTCTGCCCAGCCTGGACCTGCTATGTGACCATCCATGGACTCCAGCCCTCTCTGTGCTCACTGCCCCTAAGGGAAACGAGATGGGGCGGAGGGAGAAACTCAGCATGAAAGACACTCAAGCTTGGAAGCAAGAACGTCTTTGCATCTTCGCATCTGCAGTGATTTCTTGGTTCTTCCATTACAGAGGGGAAGAGGCTGGGTTTCAGCTGAGACACCTCTCATGCCTCCGGGCAGGTAGGGCAAGCCTCAGGTCCCCAGACAGCTTCGACAGTGTGTGCTGAAGCTAGAATTTCACACTGTCTGGCTTTCCCTGGATTTTCACCCTTCTTGATTTTCTGTGTATGGTAATTCTATATCAAATGCCTTTTTCTGAATCAATGCATTAAGGTGGTGGGGGGAAGGGAAATGAGTTGATTAAATTTTTAAAGAAAAATCCAGCTTCTGTGGCTGTCAGGAGGCAGCAAGCAGGAGCCACTTTTATTTGCTGGAACAGAGAGGGGTGGTGACTGACCCAACATCACACAGCAAGTCAGAGCGGAGCTGGGGCTCAAATGGAGCAGTACCTGCCAAGGGTCCTGGGATGGGTCAGAGGTCCTGGGATGGGTCAGACCTGCCAAGGGTCCTGCCAAGGGTCCTGGGATGGGTCAGAAGCAGCTGCACGCGCAGTGGAGGCTTCTCAGATGATCCTGCAGAAGGGGAAGTGGCTCTGGGGAAAGTGAAAGGCACAGATGAAAGGGTCACCTGGTCAAATCTCTCCCTAAACAGTCACTGCTGGGGTTCCCTGCCCTCCCCAAAGGCGGGGGAGTCTAAAAAGTCTCTATCCTCCCCACCTCTCAGGGCTCCCCTCTGCCACCCACCTCGTGTAAACTTTGGGACCTCCGCCCGTCTTCCCATCTCCTGCCACCCGCTTTCAGCCCTGGAACCGGGTGGCCTTCATGGGGAAGTAACGCAGAAAACTTCCCCTCCTGCCGGGGCCTGCGGTCTAACAGTTGCCTGGGCATTTCCAGCAACCGGTCAGACAGTCCGGGAGGCCAGGGGCTGCAGCTACTGGGAGTTTGTCCCCAAGATCCCCCTGCCCCGAGGTCACTCCAGTCCTGAAGCTAGGGCGCTCCTAGAGGGGGACTGCGGCAGGGAGTGGGCAGAAGCAGCTGCTTTTCAAGGTTGGGCAACCTGGAATCTGGGTGGGGCAGAGCTGGGGCCCAGGCTGCTGCTGGCAACCACACAGCTTGAGGGGGCTGAGCTCTGGGGACAAGGCCTAAGCATGGGTTCCCTGGGTATTGTCACCGGCCCCCAGCTTCTTCCCCCACCCCCTTGAGGTCTTGTCCTTACAGCTGGACATTCTGTCCATGTCACAAAAGTACAGGGTCCTTCTCGCCGCCCTGAAAGGTTGATGGGCGACATTTGCCCAGAGAAGTCAAGCAACCCTCCCAGGGCCACACAGCAGGTGCTGGGCCCCTCCCACACATACCCTGCACTCTGACCTTCCCCCAGCAGCATGAGTAGCCCAGAGCCACCCACCTGGCTGACCCAGCCCACGTACAGCAACCTTAGTGAGAGCCTGGGAGGGGCCCTGGATGGGGGTGGGACAGGTGATCGGTGAGGCAGCCAGAGCAGAAAGGTTGAGTGTTTCATTACCATGCAAGGAACGCTCTGCCCCATGATGGTTTAACTAGATCACAGCAGGGATTTTTTGTTGGTTTTTTTTTTTCATTTTTGCCGTGCTGCTCGGCATGTGGGATCTTAGTTCCCCCACCAGGGATCAAACCTGTGCTCCCTGCATTGGAAGCGCGGAGTCTGGACCACCAGGGAAGTCCTATAGCAGCTTTTTAACTACCTTTAATAAAACTCTTTGTTTAAAAAAAAAAGCAGCTGGATAACCAGCTTCTAAAAATGAGGAAACTGGAGTTCAGAGAGGCTCAGTCACCTGCCCAGAGCCACACAGGGAAGTGGGGGTCATCTGTGCTGAGCCAGATGTTTCTCTGCTACTGACTTGTCACTCCTCTGAACCTTTGTTTCTTCATCTGTAAATTGGAGATGGCATCCTTACCCCACAGGGCATAGGGTAGTTAGAGTTGGTATTTTTTCCTTTTTTTTTTTCGGCCGTGCTGCGTGGCTTGTGGAATCTCAGTTTCCTGACCAGGCATTGAACCGGGGCCACAGCAGTGAAAGCTCCAAGTCCTAACTACTAGACCACCAGGGAGCTCCCCATTGTTTCCATTCTAGAGATGAAGGAATTATGGCTGAGGGTGGAGCCATGCGCACAGGACCCCGCTCTGCGTGTCCTCACGCCCTTCCCCCACTCCCTCCCCGTGCCCGTCTGCTGCCCTCCAAGGCCTGCTGCTCACCGACATCTGAGCGCCCCGCTACTGACCCGCAGCCCCTGCCCAAGAAGACCCTGACCAGGGCCCAGTCGCTGCCCACCCACAAGTCCCCCAGCCCCGGCCCCACTCGAGCAGGGCAGCCTCAGAAGCCCCTTCTGGGATCCCGCAGTGTGCACGAGAGCCAGGCAGGCGACGACAGGGCGGGGCCAGCCTGTCGCCCTGCAGAGCTGCCCTTCTGCTCGCTGGACACGGAGCTGGGCCTCTCTCTCCGCCGCGCTGGAGGCCCGGCAGCTGGAGGGCCTCCGCGCCGTGTACGCCCCGGCTGCACGCCCGGCTCCTGGGGGGCCTCCCGGGCCCCTGCCGCCCCGGCCACCGCTTCCGCCTCCTGGACAGCTCGCCCTGCGTGGAGAACTGGGACGCCCTCCACCACCGCCTGGTGCGGAGGGACAAGGAGGCGTGGCACCTCCTGGCTTCGAAGGTGAGCCCCGCCTTCGCCCCGCCTCCGCCCCGCCTCCTCGGAGGTTTCCCCAGTGTCCCGACCAAGGCGTAACCCAGGGCTCTTTAGACTGAGGTCCAATTGCTTATTTTGCAACCAACATACGAACTAACACCGTCAGCCCTTGGAACCGCGTTTCTCAGGTGTGGGGCGACCTACATTCAAATCACCTGGGAGTCTTGTTAAAATCTCCCCCACGACTCTCAGGGGTCCAGTAGTCTGCATTTTAACTCACTCACCCGTGAATTCTGGCGCGAGAAACCCACAGCCGGCTGATAGCTCCCACTTTCCATCATCATCTTCAACAAAATATACTGAGCACTGTTCCTTCATGTCTTGTGCTGTTCTAAGGACTTTTAGACACTTTCATTCAGCTAATCCTCATGCAAGCGTCACCACGTTTCGTTATAAGATGCTTCTGTTTTATGCACCACCAAGAAAAAGAAAAAAAAGATTCCCATCAAATAAACCAGACTACCAAGTGTCAGACACATCACCATTTTGGAGGAACCTCACCCATTCGGCAGAATGTGTTATCATGGACCCATTTTACAGACCGGAGCATGGAGGGAGTAAGTTGCTGTTGGCTGTGAGTTCTTTAGTTGACAGCTCCGTCCTGGTTCCATCCATCTCAGAGACCCCTGGCGAGTTTATTTTTAAATATCACACTCCCAGAGCCCCACCTCAGCACCTGTCCTTTTTAACCCCTGCCCCAAGGTGATTCAAATGTAATCCCCAGGGCTGATACTCCCCTACTTTCTAGAAAGAGCTTTGCTGTTCAGTACTGCAACTGCTGGCCATGCGTGACTTCTGAGCGCTTGAAGTGGGGCTGGTGCCAATTGAGATATACTCTGAGTACCAAATACACACCGGGTCTCCAAGACTCAGTATCAATAATAATAACAATAATGTAAAACATCTCAATACTTTTTTCATTTGGTGACCTGTTGAATGATAATATTTTGGATAAATTGGATTACATAAAATAGATTATGAAAGTTACTTTCAAGGTCATAAAACTCAGTATCAAAAAAAAAAGCCTAATTAAAAACTGGGCAGGGGACTTCCCTGGTGGCGCAGCAGTTAAGAATCCGCCTGCCAATGCAGGGGAAACGGGTTCGAGCCCTGGTCCGTGAAGATCCCACATGCTGCAGAGCAACTAAGCCCGTGCGCCACAACTACTGAGCCCGCATGCTGTAACTACTGAAGTCCGTGCCCCTAGAGCCCGTGCTCTGCAACGAGAAGCCACCGCAATGAGAAGCCTGCGCACTGCAACAAAGAGTAGCCCCCGTTCGCCGCAACTAGAGAAAGCCCGCACGCAGCAACAAAGACCCAACACAGACAAAAATAAAATAAAAATAAATTTATTTTTTTAAAACTGGGCAGAACACCTGAAGAGACATTTTTCCAAAGAAGACATACAGATGGCCAACAGGCACATGAAAAGATGCTCAACATCGTTAATCAGAGAAATGCAAATCAAAATCACCATGAGGTATCACCTCACACCTGTCAGAATGGCCATCATCAAAAAGACCACAAATAACAAATGCTGTCGAAGGTGTGGAGAAAAGGAACCCTGTACACTGTTGTTGGGAATGTAAAATGGTGCGTCCACTGTGGAAAACAGTCTAGAAGTTCCTCAGAAAACTAAAAATAGAACTACCATGTGATCCAGCAATTCCACTCTTGGGTATATATCCAGAAAAAACTGAACGCTAATTAGAAAATATATATGCGCCCCAGTGTTCATAGCAGCATTATTTACAATAGCCAAGACATGGAAGCAACCTAAGTGTCCCTCAATAAAAGATGTGAAATATATCTACAATGGACTACTACTCAGCCAAAAAAGAACAAAATAATGCCATTTGCAGCAACATGGATGGACTTGGAGGGTATTATGCTTAGTGAAATAAGACAAAGACAAATCCTGTAAGTTTTCAATTGTATTGGAATCTAAAAAATAAAACAAACTAGTAAATTTTTTTTTTTTTAAGAAGAAAGTTACTTTCACCTGCTCCTTTTCACTTTTTAAAATGTGGCTACTGGAAAATTTGAATGACACCATGGCCCGAGTTGCATTTCTAGTGGACAGCCCAGCTCTGGCACCTTAGCTGTCATCTCCCTTGCTACCAAGTGGCAAGCATCCGCCCCTCTGGCAGAGTGGAAAGTCCGATCCCCTAAACGCTATCCTCCCTGGTGTAGCTTTCCTTAAAATCATACTGGTGACCAACATCCGAATTAACACGAACCCCCCGCTTCTGGAGGGATACAGCGATGGTGGGCAGGTTGGGTTGGGTGGGAAGTCTTTAGAACAGGTAGAGGCACTGGGCGAGCTGTGCTGGTTTGGTGGCGGGGAGCTCTGAAGCGTCCCTCTATCCCGCAGGTGCCCAAGCCAGGAGCTGACGAGCCCCACCCGTGTGGGCTAGGGCCGCAGGCCTCGCTGGCCCCGCATTTCAACCACCAGGAGCTGTGTGGTCTGGCGCCCGAGGGCGCACTTCCCGAGACGCCCTGGAGCAGCCCCCTGGCGCTGGCGGCGGAGCTCACGGTGGTCCAGTGGCCTGTGGAGACAGGCGCGCAGCCGCCCGAGGAGTTCGCAAGGCCGTGCCCCTGCTGCTCCTGCAGCCCTGGAGCGCCCGGAGGGAGGCGCGGGCTGTGGCCGTGGCCGAGCTGCGGCCCAAGAACCTGATGCTGGCGGCACTGCGGGGCTGCTTAGCCGCCAGGCCCCAGCGCCTGCTGCTGGCGGACTTCGGCCGCGGCCCCCCGCGGCCCCCCGGCCGCCCACGCGCGGCAGCTGGGCAGCCCACTCCGAGAGCTGCTTGGCCCGGGCGCAACCTTGGCCACGTCCTTGGCCGTGGGCCTGCAGCACCTGGCGGCCCAGCTGGCCCGCGCGCAGCCCTCGGAGGCCGGGACTCGCGGCGCGGTGCTGCTCTGGGCGCCCGGGGCCGAGCTGCGCGGCCGCGGAGCCCCGCTGGGGTCCTGGCTGCGGATGCGCCGCGCGCTGCTGGTCCTGCACCTAGCCGAGCGGGCCGTTGGTGGGGAGGTGCCCAGCCTGGAAGACTGGCTGTGCTGTGAATACCTGGCCAAGGCCACCGAGGACTCCTTGTACCTCGCCCTGGAGCTGCTGTGTAACTGATCCTTCCCGTGAGCAATGCACCTGTTCCAGGGCCTCTCTAGGAGGCAGGTCCCCCTTCCCAGGGCTGGGGCTGGTGATAGGGTGGACGCCCCCTTCCAGCAGGAACCAGGAGGCCAGCAGAGGATGCAGCTGAGAACTTGGGCCCAAGGCCCCCTAAGAATTCAGGTGCCCCCCTTCCAGGGCTGGGGGCTAATGGCCAGTGCCTGCTGAGGCTTTCTGATGCCAGAGATGCCCACCCCTCTTCCAGGTGTGGAATCCCCGACAGCTAATGTCTCTCCCAGTGGGTAGAACTGCTCCCACCGCCTTCCAGCAGAAGCCAGGATGCCCTTCTAATGCTGGGGTCTGATGGCCACTGTCTCCATGACAGTGTGGACACTCCTCCGAATGGTGGCATCAGAGGCATTCCTGGCCCTGGAACACCCCCTTGTGCTGTGAACGACCTTGTCAAGAACTGCTTGGGGCCTCCAGGAGGAGGGAGGCTCCCTGGAACCTGAGACAGCCAGCCCACCCCAGTGGGGTCTGGGCTCACCTGCCCAAACGTGCCCATGCCCTGCACCCCCTACTCCCTCCACCCACCGTGGCCTCCTTGTTGTTCCTCTGTGGCACTAAATTCCGTCCAGCCACCAAGTCTTTGCATGGCCTGTTCCCTCTGCCAGACTGTCCAAATCTCACTCACCTTTTCTAAGCAAATAAAGTTGCCTCTCCTGGGCCCTCTCTAGCTCCGCGCCCTGCCTTCCCCGAGCACTTGTCACCACCTGGAAGTATTTATTCATCTCTTTACCTGTCACCTGTTCACCTCACCTATCAGGCTGTGAGTTCCCTGAGGGCAGGGGCCAGGCTGAACACGCTAGGCGTTTAATTGATGGAATAAACAAAGTGGTACACATCAGGGGACCTGAGAGAGAGAATGAGGTCTCGGTTTATACCTCTGAAAAATGGACATAGGAGCCCTGAGGGGTCCCACTGCCATAGCCTGGGGTCTCCAGTCATGCCCCTTCACTCACCCCAACCCTACCATGGCGATCCTGGGGGGAACTTTCTGACCCCCAGGTATGACCAGGGCCCTCTCCTGCTCAGACCTCTCCCATGGCTCCCTAGTACCTTCACAGTACAATCGGGCTCTTCTAAAGGCTCTACATGCTCTCTGGCCAGCCCCTCCTGCCACATCGCCATCTGCGGAGGTGCTTTCTGGCCTCCAGGCCTTGCCCATTGTTCCCTCCACTGCAGACACTCTCCCCTCTACCTCTGCTTCAGACTCCTGTACCTCCTCCAACACCCCGACTCCAAACCCCTTTCTCGGCCCTTGCCCTGCTGACGTGGACTGGAGTGTGTCCAGCTGTCTCCCCAAACCTTTGAAAGCCAACCCCGTTATCACTCAGGTAGCTGAATAGCCCACCCAACCCCCAAATATACTTGAATCCCCTAAACTCCATCCTCCTCAGTAAAAGATACCCGCTTGGCCGCCTGTTTGTCAATCGCAGGGCCACGCTCGCAGATGCAGACAGCAGGTGGCGCTGCAGCCCTGCAGCTCTTCCGCCTTCCACCCCCCACCTCACCCCAGCCCCCCGCCACTGCAGTGTCTTTGCCTTCTGGCTCTCAGACCTCCCCACCTCTGCCCCGGCCAGGACACCCACCAGCAGCGCTCCTGCCCCAGCACGACACTGTACAAAGGCTAAAGGGCGGGGTGCCCACGGCTAAACACCACCCCACCCCCAAGCTGGAAAAGTCCCGGGCAGCCCCTGCCCCGCCCCACGCCACGCTACGCCACTTCCCAGGACCCAGTAAACAGCTTCAGACTGGAACCAGGCCACTCCAGCCAGCCTCAGGCCTCGGCCACCGCAGGGAATGGCACTGGGGAAGGCGAGTGACGGCCCAAGGTGTGGGGTGGGGCAGGAGGTGGCGGGAAGGCGAGGTATGGAGCAGCCGGGGTGGAGCCCCAGGGCCGGGCTGCCCACAGGAGGCCAAGGCTGGCTGTGGCCAGAGGTGAGACCGGGCCCTTGGCTTCCCCACCCCTCTGTAGAAAGAAGGAAGTGTGTGTACGGGGGTCACTCAGCTCAGGACGCTCGCACAGCTCCCTGAACCCCAGGCAACCCTGAGGCCCCTCTCCCCTTGGCCCCTGGCCACCCCTCCACCTGCCCTCCATTTCGGACAGCGCCCCTGTCAACACCACTGAGCCAACACAGGTCTTGGAAGGGCAATCGTTTTATTTGGATTTTTGAGAGCAATAGAAGGGTAGATTAATACCTATCTTTCCAAGTTAAGAGACCTAAGACTGCTTCCAAAAGACTTCAAATAAGAAACTCCTCCTCAAGGTACAAGGATAACCTGAATCATCTTAAACCAGCAATAAAAAAGTAAAATATAAATTTTTATTTAGAATTAAAGCAAATACTTCAGTATCACAAACACAATATTAAACTTCAAGAAATACACGGCTAATTTGGAGTGAGCATTTATTTGCACAATTACGACATGCGGACAAACCCAGCAGGTGAGCAGGCTGACGCAGGTCAGCGCGCAGTTGATCACACCACCCGCCCGAAGCACGGCAGCAAGTGCACACGGAGCGGTCTGCAATCGAGCCCCAGGGGCCTCAGGGGCATCACGCTACTCCTCCTCACCAGAGGACTCCCTCTCAAACGTGTAGGCCATGAAGCAAGCGTCGGGTCTCTTGGGGACAAGGGGATGCCCCGGTCTCACAATCTCAAAGCCCAGAAAGCTGAAGGTACGGAGCAAGGCGGCTGCGGAGGAGACGCCATCAGGTCAGAACCACCCCGTCCACCTGCAGGGCCCAGAGCCCTGCCGGCCCAGGGACCGCCTGAGACAGAAGGCCCGAGTCTAGGGCAAGGGGGCTGCTCACAGGGTGTGGTGCGGCCCCCGGACAGCATGGACCCCACCCTAGGCCTGGCCTCCAGGGCAGTGGGCAGCCTCTCCCATTTCCTCTCCCCCGCGTGGAGATCACCCACCTCGGTCATCGCGGTTCTTATGGAGGCAAACGAAGACGTGGTCAGCGCGGAGCTGCTCCTCAGCAAACTCGAGGAGAACTGCGAAGCTGAGGTTCCAGCGTCAGGGCCCGCGCCCCTGCCGCCCCACAGGGGCCCTAGCCCAGCTCTCCCACTTCTGTCTGTGGTCTCATCTGCATACTGGGAGCACCAGCCTCTCCCGGGTCTAATCCAGGGTCAGCCTTGCCACTGCTGACATTGGAGCCAGGTCATTCTGGGGGACTGTCCTGGGCACTGTGGGGTGTCCCTGGCCCCACCCACGTGACACCAGGAGCAACACCCACAATGTGACAACCATATATGGGCCCTGGAGTCCCCTGGGTGATACTGCTGATTCACTGCTTAAAAGGGGAACCCTCACTCCGGAAACAATAACCACCGCCTGGCTCCTGACTCAGGCTTCCCTCCTCTGGAGTCCAACTTTGAGGTGCAAACACAGTTTGCCTTGCTCTGCCCCCCAGGCACACACAGGCCCGCCCTCACCTGTCCTTGCTCCCCTCGGGCAGAGCGCCGCCTGGGATCTCAACGTAGAGGCAGCTGTTGCTCAGCACCGCTCTCCAGTTAATGTGTTTGGCATCCGTGAGCCTGGACTGGACGTTAAAAATTCTCGTCTTGTTATTAGACGTTAGTTCCTCTGTTACATTCAGCCGATTATCCTGTGGAAGAAGACCAAACCCAACCTTGGACACCAGCCTTCACAGCCTAGGGATCTTCCCCCTTGCTACTCTGACAGTTTGGAAAACCCAGAAAAGCACCCATATGACCCTGCAGCGCTGTTGGGGTGCGGGGCCTCCCAGGCCTCTGAGGAACGGTGGTTCCGCCCAAGGCCAGAGCAGGACCCCCAAGCTGAGGCGCAAACATGAGGCGCCAACAGCTACTACAGGCTCAGACAAAGCCTGCGCTGCAGTGTGCACCTTTGTTCCTTCCATCTTGGATTCAGGAAAACCATGTGGAGAGTTCCTGGCACACGACAGGTGCATAATAAAACATTTCGTGGGTCTGGCTACTCTCCCCCTACGCCACCTCAGGTACCCAGAAGTCCGAGGAAGAAGAATACTTACAGAGTAAAATAAATTAGCTGAAAGACTGTGATCCCTCTGACTATTCCCTCGCCCACCTGGGATCTTCAGGGGTGGGTGAGGGACATCAGGAGCACCACCGAGGCCCTGGGCCCAGGTTACTACAGCAGTTGATGGACGCCCTGGAACTGGAGAAAAGGCGCTGGTGAGCAGCACTGGGGGAGACGCCCCGCCTCCGCTGACAGGGCCCCGAGCCCAGCAAGGCCAGCAGAAGACCAAGGCCTACCAGAGCCCAGGTCCCCGCGACGCGCCTCCCTCTCTCAAGCGCAATGTTTACACCGGGTGCAGAATCAACATCTGCCTCCGTCGGGTCAGCAGCCACAGGAACAAGAGGCCACTCAAATCCACCTCCTCGGGTGGTGACGCCGATTAAAGGTCCAACCGGTCCCGAGTGCCTCTTCTGCCCAGCACTAAGTGTCGCCCTATCCAGCCCTGCGCCAGGTTCTACTTCCCACTTCTAAGTCCAGCGCTTCAGCTTCCCCTTTTCCACTTTGCAGTCTCCAGCAGACCTGAACCTCTAACAGCTTTTTCTTAGAAGTCCAGCAAAACCGTCCTTCCACTGAAGCAGCCCCTGCTGCGGCTCTTTCGTTGTCGGCACCCGCCGGAAGGCGCGGGACCCGTTCGGTGTCCCCGCAGGCGCAGAGGAGACGGGCCCGCGCAGACGCCCTCCCGCGCGCACCCCGAGGCCTCCGCTTGCGTCATCTCGGCAGAGCGGCCCTCGGCCCCGGGGGAGGTTTTCACAATCGCGCAGCCGGCAGCGCCAGCAGCCATTTGCTGCGCAGTGTCAACAGGCCCCGCGATCGCCTCCATTTTGCTCGGCTCCCATCCGGGGCGCCCGACCCGCGGGCGGCGGCATCTTGGCTCAGGGCCCGCGCGAGAGCACCCCCGGGGCCGTGGTCTAAGACCTCACGATCCGTGGCGAGCGCGGCTCACCTAGACCCCCGGCCCCGGCCACCCTCGACCCAGCCGTCCTATGGGGGAGAGGCGGGCCGGCAGCCACGCCGAGAAGGGCCCCGGGCACCGTCTACGTGGCGCGGCCCGGCTCCGCGCATCCTCGGGGCTGAAAAGTGACCGCGAGGGCGGCCGCGTCCCGGGGCCACGTCGGGGTGCGGGATAGGGGGAAGGGCCGCTCCGCTGAGCGCTCACAACCTCCGCGCCCGCAAAGCGCAGATTCCCGCGACCCGCCGGCCCGACCGCCCCCCAAACCCGACCCCGGAACCTCGCACCCCCAGGCCGGACTGTAGACTCCTGTGCCCCCCAAACCCAACCAGGTTCCCTGGCGACCCCCAATCCAACCGGAAATCCTCGTGTCCCTCCCCCAATCCAACCAAGTAGCCTGCGGGCCCCTCAATCCAATCAGAGACCCCCTTTGCCCCCACCCGCCCCGCCCCCACCCCGCCGAGAACCCGCCCCCGGCGCGACTGTTGCCTCGACAAAGGGGCGGACCTCGCGCTCCCGGGACTTCCGTGGCGCCCCGCGGCCAGGCCCCTGCGGGCCTGCGCGGCGGCGCTTCTGGAAGCTTCGGGCGGGGGCGGGGCGCTCACCTCTCGCTGCTGCGGCCTCCGCGGCTGTGCAGGCTAAGGAGCGGCATGGTGCGGGTGGCGTGGACGGTGGCGCTGGGTTTATCCCCCTCCTTCTCTCTGGCGAAGCAGTGGCTGTTCAGGATC